TGACTTCTTTGAGTTTGGTTTGACAGCAGTTCTTTTAATGGCTGCATATGCTCGCCATATCACAGAGCCGTCTTCACGGTTTGCAGCATTTTTCTTAACCATTTTCCATCTTGGCTGGCTTGCCACTGCCATCACATGGTTAGGAGCTTTTTATTTGACATATTCTCTGCTTCTTTCGCAGATGATTCATGTACTTAAGGATCTCGTGAACACCTATGTTTCCGCATCTGAAGTTGCATCAACAGGAACTGCTTAAGCGAAGAACGTCGATTCTATGAAATAGATGAATGAGTGACAACCTTAAATATCGTTCTCTAGGCAATATGAAGGTAGACGCCGTGAAATTTGGTGAATGGATTAGTTGAACGTCTCTTACCTAATAGAAGACATTTATAGGGACAGTCAGATTTCTTATAAACAATCTTATAAACGCATCCAAATTACTAATAGTATTCGCCAACTGCACTGTAAACTCAAAGTGCCCATTAATAGATCCAAGTATTTCTTTTTTTTGAATATAGCTGAACTGGAAATCTATAGGGCCAGATTCAGCGCCCGTTTCTTAGGTCGCAATGACGGTAAGGGAAATTCATATAAATTGCCCAATGCGTGAAACTTCGGTTGCTCCACATGGCATACTGCCCCTTGCTTCCAAAAGCCCGGGGTGGAGCTTAAGATGGCTGGTTCCGTTCCATATTATTTAAACCCTTGTAGTGCGGGGACGCAGTATTGTGCAAGTAAAAATTTTATGGCGCACCCAACGCTTCTCTGAGAATAGCATACTGCATTCAGTCTCTTCTGACTGTCGATACAGCCGCTTTACCCTCTGTGATGTTTACTTAGAAAAGCAAGGTGAACTCACCATATAGGTATTTCTACGATATGCTCATCTTTCATAAGAATGATTGGAATCTGGCCTTGGAGACAGTCATACACTAAGTCTATGAGTGTGTGACGTTCTAAGGGTGAAAAGAACTTCTGTTCAAACAGAACCCGGAGAAAATGGCTCTTGAGATAGAGAAGCGTACTTTCTGCATAAATCTTTGCACTGGAACCAATGTGATAATGTAATTTTGCGGTTTAACCGCTGTGTTGATCTCAATTCGTCTTACACTCATAGAGTCCGTTTAAAGTAAAAAAATCTGTCTTATAATGCATGGGGGTTAATAACCGTTGTCTTATGAGCGCATTCATTTTTCTCCCGCCACCGTTACAAGTTGACTTGTTCCGACTCACTGACACGATATGTTCATCCTACGTACTGAATATGCGTATATACCATGGAG